TATATATATATATATATATATATAGTATTATGTGATATGGTCATGGTATCTGACACAATTTTCACAGCAAGAGGCTTTAGTGCAATGCAATAAGGTCAATGCTGTTTACCTGCTCTTTAAATTGTTTTCATAGTCCATCAGAAGTACAAATTCAATTTCTTTTGAGGGCATATTTAAGCAAAATAAAGGCACAGACGTTCTTGAAAGGTACCTACAAATGGAATAGCATGAATTCTCTTTTTACGTGCTTCTTTTTGGTTGATTTGGAAGTGTGGTTGGATACATTTCTGTGATGAAGTCATACCTTATATTTATCCAATCCATAAAAATACAATGTTTCCTTGTGATATGGTGGTGTCATCAAATTCGTTTGATATTATGCAGTCATCTTGGCATATTTATCGATTATCTGAATGTCAAAGGTACCAAAAAATATAGATATAAATTACAACCACCATAAATATCTTAAATAAACTTTTCTGACATCCTCTTATCATTTTTGAAATGTTGGATCACTGGCAGGTCAGCAATAAGTTTGTTGGGTTTTTGTAGGTACTTAATTATATATATATATATATATATAGCTTCGTCAAGCGTGATGACATACTCCCCTCCTATTCATCTCATACGAAATGCTGCTCATACAAACTATTGACTCTTAGTCTTTCGTTAGTCAAGTATCGATTTTGTAGATCTAAATCCACGTGAATCGTCAAACATGCCTTTATAGTCACAGAATAGTAAAATCATCGCTTAAGAAAGTCCTGAAATGTAACTCTCCCAAAATAGGTCAGTTTTAGGCACCATTTATACTTGCAATTAGAGTGAGGTCTTTTAGTTTGTGTAGTCACAGACCTCAGGGATGATCAGGTTCAAAAGGATTTGGTATGAAATTTATTATGGTAGATCATGAACAATTGTCTGTATATTAGTTGACGGCAAAGGTTTTGGTGAAAGTTCTGTATCCAGTTCAGTATGAAACAAATGGATCGTACATTAGACAGCATAGGGGAGGTTGTGTAAGGTCATATACATAACATAATGACTAATATGTGCAAAACATGGTCATTAAGAATTAACAATCCACTCATCATAAACACAATATGGACTTTAGGACATAAAATGAAGTGATTAATATTGACCACACGATCAGACACAGATGTCACGGGTTCCATATAAAGTCGAGAATATCTGATTTATACCTGCATTTGATTATATAGCTTTGTACATCTTCTTTGGAATATTACTGTGACAATCAAAACTGAAACCAAAGCCATCAGGGGTCTTTATTTTACACAAATACGTCACAATTCCATGCATCTACCAATGATTAAATGGCTTTATGTTTGGAGAGCTAGAGATGATCTATATTATCGATGCAACGTTGTTCAACATGACTTTCATCTTGGCAACCCAATTATGAAGTGGGGAGTTATTAATATGAATGAAACACAGATCTTATTGTGCCCGCGAGGAGTCGATTTACTTCTTGACAATATATTGTTCTGATGTAAAATGAGCTCGGGCGACGTTTCGCGTCGTCCAATCGAATTGAATTTTGTTTTATGCAAGATAATCCACGATGTCAAATTGCCAAGGTTGTGATGAAGTACCTTAAAAAGTAGCCATAAAGGTCATAGATTAACTAATACATTCTGATCCTAAGTTTCGTAGCACTATTCTAGGACATCACAAAATGCTGTTTACGTTAACAATTTTTTACTCGCAAAGCCTCGTCAAATAGCTTTGTTTTGTGTTATTTCAGTAATATGACAGAACTTCCCAGACGGTATTTCATGCATAAATACCGAAACCGTATACATGCCAAAGAATCCATTCTCGTACAAAACGAGATTTTTTGTACGACGTGACTTTTTCATACACGTTGAATTTGAAAGTATTCATGTTTAATTACTTGTAAATATAGGTATATTGTAAGTGAAAGTGACACATTAACTCTACTGAGTGAATAACTATTGTAAGTGAAAGTGCCTGTTTCTATAGTGGGAGGACGTTTCGGCTTTTATACTGATGCTTCATTATAGAAGGCGAAACGTCGTCTCTCTAGAGCAGTCAATTAAGGCCAAAATTCTACCATGCTTAAAATACCCTTGAAGCAACATTGTGATAATCAGTTGTAAATGGAAATCATTTGGTAAAGATTCTCAAGAACTAAAACAAAACTTTATCAAAGACTGAAATTTTATGGTTTTGAATATAAATTAAAGTGATTTTTTACATTGAAGATACAAGTCGTTTTCAATTGAACTTCCCTTACTTCCATTTCATGTGATAAAGTCAACCAATAAATATCAGTATTTTATAGTGTTTAATATAGCTCTAAATGACTAAATATTTTAAGCAACAAATATCGCGAATATGGAGTTCTATTAAAGTTATATAAGTGTCATTTTTATTGAGCCAGTAAGTGTTTCTATGTATACATATATGTACTTAATAAAGTAGCTAGTACTAAAAGTATTACTTATCATTCAAAGAAAACTCTTTAAGCGTACTAACAGAGATAGGTATCAAGTATTAAAATATATTAATTTTTTTGGTAAGTTCATTTGCTGTGGGCGGGTTTAAGCTTAGTTTTCAAGAATATTTGATTACCACGTGCGAAAGATCAACTAAAGTTTAAAGTAACGTTTCCAGTAAAGTTTAAACATCAAGCTGATGAAATCCAATAGTAAACTATTGTATTTTGAACTTTTTCTTTTCAGACTTTTGCACATTGTTAAAATATAAGTATAAGGTACCATTTTTAGTATTTGGTTTATTTCCCACAAGTACATTAAAACGGATATTTTCTCGTCTTACAGTTCCTCCAGCTGTTGAGGTGTTACCACGAGGCTACTATTCTGTAAACGAATCCGACAAGGCCATCTTTACGTGCTATTTCAACGCCAATCCACCGAACGTTACAGAAATCGTGTGGTTTAAAAACGACAATGTTTTCTCCCAGACTCCAACAAACCGATTGCGTTTAAGTAAAATTCCGATTCCCACGTTAGAAATTCGAAATGTCAGACGTGAAGATGCTGGGACTTTTAGTTGTCAAGTTAAGAATGCTTATGGAAGAGGAACGTCAATCAATTTTGTAGAATTGGATATACTGTGTAAGTGATTTAACGATTTCTTGAATAAATGACATTTACATATTCAACAAGTGCAAGCACATGGCATTTCATAAATCATTATAATGGAAAGTTATTTTACTTTAGATATTTATTTCATTTCCTCCTGTGATCAGTTCTTTTCTACCGTGGCCAGATGGTTAGGACGCTCGCCTCGCAATCTGCGGGTCGCGGGTTCGAATCCCCGTCACACCAAACATGCTCTTTCAGCCGTGAGGGCGTTATAATGATACGGTCAATTCCACTATTCGTTGTTAAAAAGAGTAGCCCAAGAGTTGGCGCTGGGTGGTGCAGACTAACTGCCGTCCCTCTAGTCTTACACTGTTAAATTAGGGACGGCTAACGCAGATAGCTCTCGTGTAGCTTTGCGCGAAATTCATAACAAATAAACACACTTTTCTACCGACCATTATTTAAGTTGTACATCGTATTATATGAATACGTTACTTTATTTTTTTAAATGTATAAACGTTATATGTTCGTATAAATTTAGCGCATCAAGTACATTTTTATCTGTTAAATGACATCAACTGACAAATTTATTATTATATGCTGTCAATGAAACATTGCAGGAAAGCAGTAACAAAGCACAGAAAACAGGTTTATATTGTGTTAAAATAACAAATGATTTGCCTTCATTTGATGACTTGAAGCAGAGTGGTCACAGAAGCTTTTAATACTGCACCTCTTTCTCATAATTATTTATCATTAATTTTATTGTAATTTTTTTATCAACTCTTCTGCTAGAAGTTAATACTTAATTAAGGTCGTTATAATTAAACTAAAAGCTTGTCATTAAAGTTGTTTTAACGAGATGTAAACGCGTTTAATGTGTCTTACTGATAATATTATATCTGTATGCTGTTTTATGGCTCTTTTAGTGTTATTACAAAGGATGGTCTTAAACCCCATTGGAAATGTTCTCAGCTCATGAAGTGTTCCTAAATAAGTTGGAAGGTTTGAAAAGATAAATTTATAAAACTCCAAGAAGTTTAAATGGAATATAATTTTGTTATTATTTGCACATTTGAAATGCACAAAAATAATTGTGTGGAACAATTTATTTTAAAAAAATACGTTTGTTTAACTTTAAAAGGTAAGGAATAACCACATATATATATATATGTTTCTGCTTACAAATAATTAACGGTTCTATGAAATAAATTGTGGAAAGCATAAGATTATTTTAAACACATATTTATTTTACTTGTTGAGTAATTTATTAGCAAAATAAGCTTATTCCGGACACATTATCGCAATACTAACATTTCTGGAAATGAGATTAATAAAATATATCTTACTTTACAGATATTCCGGTTTATTCAATACCAAATAAGAGAAAAAGAATACACACGTTAAGTTGAATTTTCGATTTTTGCAAAGAAGTTAAAAGTAATTAAATATTTTTCTTTCTTTTATCAGTAAATTGTTATCTGCTTATTCTAGATCCACCTCAAGTCAGTCTTAACCTTAAATCGCCCATAGCAATAGAAGGAACCAATTCTTCTGTTTGGTTCACATGCGACACTTTAGACGGTAATCCTAAAAACCTGACACAAGTGAAATGGTATAAGGATGAAGAATTGATTAAAGAAAGCACAAGTAACAAACTAATTCTAACGAGCATTAAAAGACATTTTGCTGGTAATTACTCCTGTCAGGGAATCAACGGAGCCGGCTGGAGCCCGATATCTTCACCAGAAGTTTTAACAGTGTACTGTGAGTTTCTTTGTCTTTTTTTTTTTTTGACACATTTATTTCTGAATTAGATTTGAAATTTACTGGGCGTGATAAATTGTTTATATACGTGTTTTAAGCTTGGTCATCAAAATGTATTTATTTTTATCTCCAACACTTACAGAGGATTGTGTAATGTATCATTTTACATCTGTTTGACAGAGTAAAAACATTATTTTTAAAGCTATCACTTTACGTTAATATCGAACATCTTCAACACCTAGTTACCAAGTTTAATAGATATTTTCGTAAACTTTATACTCAGCACCTTTAAATTAATGTTTTTATCATTCTTAAACGTTTACAAATTCTTAAAAGATTCTCGCAAATTTCTTTATGAGGGTGTGATTAAAGCTAATTAGGCTAACAAATCGATGAAGTTTATAGTAAGGCTATCCTTCTAGTTTCCTAAATCTTATACTTCAGTACCTTTGAATTAATAAATTCATTCTTTTATGGTTAAATCGGGCAACGTGGTTTTTAAATCTTCATTATTTAGCGTAAATAATTATCAGTAGAATATGATCAAAACAAGCTATTTATACCAGTTTAATTACGAATATGTAATTTTATGGAAAATATTATGATGATTAGAATTTATTTATTCGTCATTTGGATACTCTCGTTGTAATCAATGTTTGGTCGTAATCCAAAAAAATGTCTCACGATACTCGACCAGCTCTGCAGATTGTGATTTGCCATAAATCCATAATCTAAGCTAACATGTCAAAATAACCCTCATATCAAAAACATACGTGTATATAATAAATAAATTTCAAATATTAAACATCAATATACATATATGTAT